CGCGTCCTTCCGCCAGCGCATCCCCGGCTCCTGGCCAAACTGCACATGCTTACACATGCGCAGTTCAGCAGCCTCCCCCTCCCGACCGTGTCTTCCTCCCCGGTATCTGATCGTGCCGGGGAGCAACAGCGCTGCGGCTCAGGGGATCCGTGGGATCCCGCCGTGGTGTCTCTATTTTGGTGTGGCTCTAATTAGCCACACTTTGGCCGGTGTTTTCCCTGCCGTGTGGCAGGGACCTAAGTAGCTCTTCCATTGGAAAAAGAGTCCCTCAACTTGGAAGAAAGCTACTTAAGAGGGTGGTGGTCGGATGAATCCCATTATTATTTGGGACTCAGCTGTAGCTCAGTGGAACAGCCTCTTTCTGGCATGCGGTAGATCCCAGGTTCAATCCCCAGGAATAGGAAGCAGATGACGGGAAAGGCCTCTGCCTGAGACCCTGGAGGGCTGCTGCCAGGCCAAGCCGACAACACTAACCTTGACGGACCGCGAGTCCAACTCAGTAGAAGGAACTTCAGCAAGCTAACAGTAAATCCCGTGACCCTCAGAGGCAAGGATCCTTACAGGATCAGCCTCTCACTAACAGATCAAGGCAGATCAACGCGGCTAACGCCACGGGATGCCCGACAGAGCAGCATTAGGCTTTTAAAAACATTAGCTTTACAGACAGAAGCACGATCAACTCCACAGCAAAAACCGTAAGGGACCAGCGCGAGTTACGCAAGAGCGCTGCTGCCCCCGTCTGTCGGCAAGAGGCACTTCACCTTCTCTCTCCACTGTGCAAGTTTTTGTAAAAAGTCACCCGTGTGGTGCCCTGCCCTGGATAGCCCAATCGCGTCATATCGCAGAAGCTAAGCAGGGTCAGCCTTGGATCGTGTTCGGAAGGGAGGCCACCGAGGATTCCCTGCGTCGCTACGCAGAGGAAAGCAATGGCAAGCCACCTCTGAACTCGGGATGGGCACGGACCGACTCACGGACCACATTTCGTCATGGACCGGGGCCCAGTTCATGGTCTGTGAGCCCCGTCTGTGCAATCGCGGCTCTCACAGACTACCCACGGACTGCCATGTTTTCCACAGCGGTACATGTGGTCTGTGGGAGCGGTCCATGAGCCAGACATGCTGGCGCTGAGGATTGTCAAGGCAACAGGGGGACTGCCTTCCCTTCACTCCCTGAGTCGCACCGCGCCAGTGGTGCGACTCAGGACTGA